CTCCCTCCATCCATTCATCCCCCCCCTCCTTTCCTTTTTCTGTTCTTTCAAGACAGGGTTTCTCTATGTAGTTCTTACTGTCCTGGAACTCACTCTGAGGACCAGGCTGGTCTAGAACTCAGAGCTCCGCCTGCCTCTGTCTCCTGAGTGCTGGGATTAAAGGCGTGTGCCACCACCTCTTGTCCTCTTTCTACTCTACAAAACCCTACTCTAGTGGTCTAGTTAGCCAGATTTCTTTTTCTTCACACACATTAGAGTCATTTAATTTCCTTTCACAACTTTGTTCACGGTGCACACTGCAGCTTGTGATTAATTCTGTAAGCTACATGATCAAGGAACTTGAACCTAATCTTGGGTGTTGAGGCATAGTTGCTTTCTTTAGTCATCAGTCTGTTCTTCCACAGGTAGAATGCATGGGTATACAAATCAGGTAGCTTCCTTGTTCTTGTTTTCTATCCTTGGCAAGTCTCACATCTAGGAAAAGGGGAAGGTGACTTCTAGCCTTATTTTTTCTTTCTTGTATCTCTTATTAGGGCAATTGGCAGAACAACCTAAACTACTTCGTTAATCATTTTTACTAACTGTCCTAACCACCTGTATCTTTAAATCATTGATCCAACTAAGCATCGATGCTCTGTAAAAATCATTATGATCTGTGAGTATATTGTCCAGTGAGGAGGGGGGTTTTCCATGAATCAATCACACTATACTAGATACAATGGGATTCTTTTACATAGTAACCACACCATGCCAAATACAGCAGACACATGATAGCAGTGGGCAGGAGAAGGCACAGCAGAAGCAAGGGGAACTCTGGAGACAATCCCCCTGGGGCCCTGTCTCTCCAGGGTGCACCCATAGCAACCATGCTATCCGATGAGTGGTACTCCATAAGATCCACTGCTGACTGCAGCTCCTCTGACATGACCACTGCCTGCCGGTGGCTTGCTTACAGTTCCAGAGGCTGAGTCCATGATCAACATGGAAGTGTACATGGCCTTAGGCACAGGAAGACATGGTGATGGAGAAGTAGCTGAGAGCTTCCATCTGATCCTCAAGCAGAAGAGGGGAGGGAGAGAGAGCTAACTGAGGATGGTGTGGCATTTTGGAGCCTCTAAGCCCACTTTCAGTGACACAACCTCCGCCAAAAAGGCTGCACCTCTTATTCTTCCCAAGTAGTTTCACCAACTGCAGACCAAGCATTCAAATACATGAGCATATGCAGGGTATTCTTATTCAGACCAGCACAATAGTAGACATTTAGATGATTCTGTTTGTTCAAGTTCAGAGAGTATTAGTAGCCATGCGCAGTACAGGGGACTATAGACTATATTTGTTGGTGCACTGCTGTGGATTATTGCTGTAAAAAAATAAGTGGTTATCGCTTCTGTGTGAGTCCTGGTGGGGTGCTCTGGGGAGCCCCTCAGTCTCCAGTCCTCTATTCCCCGTGTCCTCCAGGGCTAGGATTACAGGTCCTTACCACCATGTCTTAAATTTACACAGGCTCTGGGGATCTGAACTCGGGTCCTCATGCTTGTGTGGCAGGCGCTTTACTGGCTGTGCTAACTTGCTAGCCCCAATTTTCAACTTTGGTGGAGGTTAACACTTCCATTTCCTTCAGGTTTTTGATCTACTTTAGTTTGGGTTATGTATGATGTGAAGCAGAGTATCCAGAAATCCCTTTGTGTTTTCCTCATTGTCTGAAAATCATTTGTTGGAATCCACTTTTAAAGTAACTATAAAATAATAAATTTTCTCATTTTTTAAAAATTAAAACATAATTATGGCATTTCACCCCATCCCTTTCCTCCCTCCAACTCTGCCCATGTAAACTTTATCTCATTGCTCCCAAAATATACACACACACATATATATATAATCTATAACATATATATCTATCTACATATAATCTATAACCTCTAAGCCCATTCAGTGTTGCTTGTATGTATATACTTTCAGGGCTGCCCACTTGGTATTGGATAGTCATCTGGGTGGCTCATCCCTAGGGAAGACTAATTGTCATGTCACTCTTTCAGCATGCCTTGGTGTGCTGGATGTGTCTATGTCAACTTGACATGAGATGAAGTCATCTGAGCTAAGGAACCTCAAGTAAACACTTTCATAAGATCAGGCTGTAGGCAAGCCTATAGGGCATCTTCTTAATTAGTTTGATAAGGAAGGCCCTGCCCATGGTGGGTGGGACTACCCCTGGGCTGATGGTCCTGTGTTTTATAAGAAAACAGGCTGAACAAGTCATGATGAGCAAGACAGTAAGCAGCACCCCTCCATGGCCTCTGCTTCTGCTCCTGCCTTCAGGCTCCTGCCCTCCTTGAATTTCTGTCCTGACTTCCTTTAATGATGAATAGCAATGCTTAAATGTAAGCTGAATAAACCCTGTCCTCTCCAGCTTACTTTTTAGTCATGGTTTTAGTCATAGCAATAGAAGCCCTAAGACATTTAAGACAGTTACCTGTAATTCTTTGTCTATGGGTGGGGAACAATGAAATTTCCCTCCTCCATGTGAACATGTCTATTGGTGTCCCTTTTTAGGTCTTGAATAAGCAGTCTTATTGTTGAGGTACCATGGGTGAAGCTCCCCGTCATCTCTAGGAGACACACTATGACAGTAGATTTCCTGGCCCTCTGACTCTTACAGTCTTTATACTCCTTTCATGATGTTCTCCAAGCCTTAGGTACAGGAGTTGTGCTGTTGATGTATCAATTAGGGATGGTACCTTCATGACCTCTTGTTCTATGCATTTTGACCATTTGTCCATGTGTTGCAAAGACAAGTTTGAGTGCTGAGAGCTATCTGGCTTGGCTCTTATGCAAGATATGTAGGACCTACCTGGGCTTGAAAGGTTGGATGTGGTCCACAAGAGACTGGAATCTGTTCTTTTTCCATCAAATGAGTTTGGTTCTTCTGGCAGTCATCTGACCATAAACATGTGGCTGGCTGATTTCTGGGCTCTCGGTTCTGCCCCGCTGGTCTATGGGTCTGTGTATGAGCCAAACCATTGTCTTGTTTCCTTCAGCTTTGCCATAAGTGCTGCAGTCAGGACATTTGAGTCTCCCAGCTTTGTTCTCCATTTCCAGGCCGTTCAGTTTAAATAAGATCCCTTGTGAACCTCCACAGCAAGGTCTCTGGTTGGTACTGTGCTAAATGTGAGGTGCTGAGGCAGACGGGAGGGCTCAGTTCCAGGAACACAACCGTTCCCCATTTGTCCAGCATTTTTAAAAAAATTCTTTCACCATTTTTTTTTTTTAGTTTTCTGAGTATGAGTTTTGTCTTTTGTTAACTTTGTTAACTTTATCGCTGTGGGAATTCCTTCAGCCACTAACCTTTAAGATACCAGCCCACTTTGGGTGTGGCCTCATTTACTATAAACGTAGTCTTCTGTGTGTGTAGCTGTCTTTGCTACTGGATTCGGTTCCAGTTCCCAACACATGCAGAGGACTGTGGATCACTACCCTTACTGTGAGTTTATCCCCAAATAAACCTTTGTCATACTCCATTCTGGGCTATTGTGGAACTCTGTGGTGTGCCAACACTTCATTGCTAATCTTGTTCATTATGAGCTACTGTATGGGCATTGTTTTGGAGGACTCAGCACTGGCTTTTGCTAAGTTCATTTCAAGCCTGTGAGCCATGGAGCTCATTTGTTATTTCTGATAGCGTTTCACTGGATTCCTGGGGAGTGTGTCTGCAAGATTGTGTCTCCTTGCCCGTAGAAGTTTTGCCTTTCCTGGCTGAGTCTAGAAGCCCTGGCCATGGCTGCTCTGGGTCTGACAGTTTGAGTCCAAAGAACTCAAAGATGATACTGTGGTGAGGGCAGCAGGTCCAGCAGTGGACAAGTGGGATTGGTCCCTGTGTCCTTAGATTCTCCTGATAAACTGTGTGTGGTTCCTGAATATTCTTGCTTCTGCCCTTGTAGGACAAGCACACATTCCAATATAAAACAGATCTGGGTTTGGGTACCTTCCCTGTGCACAGCTGGAAGCTTCACCCCTACTGACTACACTTCATGGTATTCTGCATGATACTGGATGAGAAAAGTAATCTTTGATACAAATCATGATACCCTGTGACCTACAACGGTGATTTGCCCGGTGAGATATACTGGTACAATCATGGCACACATGTTATGTGAATAACAAATCATTTTTTTAAAAAAAATGAATTTAAGGCCCACTCTGTGAGATGAAATCCATGCTTGACACTGCTAAACTGGCAAAGAACCTGAGACTGAGTAGGCTGTGGGCCTGTAGGAAGCCTACTAAGGAAATTTAAATATAGTGTCGGGCACCTTAAACTGAGCCCACCATAAGTGCTGTAGTACCTGGGAATTGAGCTGCTCTGACCTTCAGTGCTGTCTTGGGCCGGGCAGGTGCCTGAGGGAGTATCTAGCACACAGCTGGCTGCAGTGAGCATTCAGAAATGGGGGGGCCACTATGTCTCCAGTGAGCATTTAGGTTGTTCCAGGGGATGGTAGCAGGCAGGGCAGCTTCAGCCAAGCAGAGGATAGCTATGTCTCTGCTGTGTAGAATGCTTTTCTTTTTCATTTCTCTTTATTTTAAAATCTGCCATAGAAAGTTGTAAGCAAAAGCAGACAGAACAGCACCATGTCCTCATGTCTACCTATCAGCCACCAGCAAGTTCAGAACGGATCTGTTTCCTTCTGGACTTCCCTTCCCATGGGAGGTTGAGGCAAAGCCCAGACACTGGTTCCATTTGTGCTTGCTCCAATCTGTCCACTCTAAGGGTGAAATCTAATTAGAAATGATTTCACCATTATCTCTGCTTGTGATTATGGCAATCTCCAGTGGAAGCCAGAGAAGGACTCAGAGGGAGGGCTCTCCTACAGCGAGGAGGACAAGTTGCATCCCTGAGCAGGAATTCTGCCTCCTGCCAAGCTTTCTCGAAGTATTACCTTTTCCCTTCCCACTTGCCTTCACTCAGTAGCTCTCAGCATCCACCTGACTCGGAGATGGTGCTTCTGTGTCTGGGAGGAACAGTATCGTCAGTTCGAAACAAGAAATTCTTGTAGCAATTTGTCAGAAGAAGCACACAGAGCAGCTGGGTCTCTCTCCTGTCAGTAGACCCTCCACTCACCCTCTTAAGGCAGGTGTGGCCTGTATCTCCCTCCTGAACCCGTTACCATCACAGTGGAGCTGTGGGTCATAGGTCCACCCTTCTTTCTTTCGGGGGCTGAGGAAAAACCTGCACTTTGCCAAGACAGTCTGCAACCCTTCAATCTCTCTCTCTCTCTCTCTCTCTCTCTCTCTCTCTCTCTTTCTCTCTCTTTATGCCTCTATCTCTTTCTCTGTATCTCTCTCTTAATTTCTCATTTTGTCTTTCTGTCCGTTAGTTTTTCTTCCTGTCACACAATTTCTCTCTGTATGTTTCTGTTTCTCTCTCTTCCTCTTTCTCTCCGTATGTTTCTCTTTATCCTTCCCCCTCTCATCCTCTATCTCTCTTGGACTGGCACACTGAAGGGTTTCTTTACTTTCCATTTTGTCACATACATCCATGGGCTGCAGGGGGAGGGGAACGGCTGTCTTTTTCTCTAGCCACTTTGACTTGGACCCAGCTCAGTCATTCACCAACTGTGTGGGTTACTCTGTCTCAGATGACTGGGGGATTGCCAGGCATCATCATGGCTAGAGCAGAAATACTGGCTTCCCGTACGTGGAACACAGGGGTGCCTAGCTGTGGCTCTGTTTTTGGATTGGCTGGGTTCTCCAGACTTTGATCCAGAGAACAGGCAGCATTTGTGTAGCCATTTTTCAGCACCCGGAACAGCTCCCAGCACCGCAGGGTGACAAGTGTCTGTGTTGGGCACCACGGTGGGGTTGGAGACTCAACCTGCTACCTGTCTGATGGTCCTTGTTCATCAGAGAGTGCTGCTTTCTCTCCAGATGTGCGGGTAACCCACCCACCCTCAGCCTCTGTGATGTGCTGCCTGCTTGTCCCTTTTGTCTAGTACTTGAGCGTAGCCTCTAGCCGCAGCCACCTCCTGCTATCATGACATGGCCCTCAGGTTCTGGGATGACTGGCCACCTTCCAGGTGGAGACAACAGAGTGCTGGTTAGGGCAATCCCACCCTGAATGGCTGGCAGGAACTGGGGAGGAAGGCAGCCAGCTTTGGCCAAGGGTGGCGTGGTAGCCCCAGAGGCTTCAGGATGAGATGCCCACACCAGGAAAGTCTGTGAAGCCATATGCCTGACGGACTGTGACTGGGTGGGTGGCAATGTGGAGGATGGATCGAGGTCTTCATCAGTGTGAAGTTCACAGGGATTGAGGGTGTGGAAGGGGTCCTC